GATAAAAAGTGAGGAAATTCTGTCTTTTTTAAAGACAAACATTTTTTAGCCAAAATACCCAACGAGAAGTTTGTAAAAAAATGAATCCGCCTCAACAATATAGAACTTATCTATCCCTGTAATGGCCATCGAAAAAAACTCACCCTGGATATTCGGAAAACGGTACGAATTATGTTGAGGCTAATGAACAAATCGAAATTTTTTTTTATATTTTAAAGAATTCCGGAGGCACCATAGCTACCGACTTGGTTTGCCGTTCCTGAATTAAAATTAACCGAACGTAAAGAACATACGCTTAAGAAATGGCAACGTATTCAGGTTTCTGTGTGACACGTTTGAAACAGGTGGAAAAACGGAATATTTGTGTGACCTTCAAAAAATCGGGTTAAATGGAAGTGTAACACTCAAGGTAATTTAAAGATTGGTACTTTAGTCTTAGTCAAATATGATGCGGGACCAAACTTTTATTGGAAACCGGAACGCATAGTTCAGTTATATCCCGGTAAGAGCAATGTGTGCAGAGTTGTGGACATAAAAATCAGGCAGGATATCATAAGACGTTCCGTTAACCAGATTTGTGCGTTACCAGTTGATTAGTTGTTGTTAATTAATAAGTAGGAACAGCTTTAAGTTAGATAAGTTTTGGTTAGTTATTGGTAGTAGAGTTGGGCCTTGGATTTTGCATTTAGATTTTTATTTGTTAGCATGAACAGGGAGCAAATTCGACCTAGTTTAAAGAGTAAGACTGTTCAAGGCGCGGACTATGTTAAGGAATTGGTAGATGTACCAGTAGCAACTGCGATTATCCGCAAAAAAAATAAGTTTCAGAGAACCATCCAGTGGTCGTTATAATTATAAAATAATACAGTCCACTATTAATGCCAATTAAAGTCATTTTCAAACTGGTTACGTTGAAAAGCTCAGTTTGGCTGAAAATAATAAAAATTGAAACTTTCATTTCAATTTTCTCCCAGTGTACCCTGAAAAGGCATCTATTATTAAGAGCTGCTTACCATATTTTGTGTGGTAGAGCAACATAGCCTCTTAGGACCTAATTTATTTAATTGGGCCAAGTTGCTCACAATAAAATACAATTCACGAAATTGCTATACCAGTTACACAGCTTTTATAAGTCTATTTTAGTCAAACAGCAATTTAAATGTCAACTTAAGCGACACGTTCTAAATATAAAGTCAATTAATTAGACTTGCCGTCACCGACATAAGTCAAGCAAACGAGAGTACAGTAGTACAGAGATTCAGGATGTCAAAGTGTAAATAAAATTTTGCTTTATTTTTAGTTAGATACTTAATCAAATTTGACTATGATTTTAAAAAATTATACTTGGAAGATTTTTTGGAACGACAAATAGAAATTTCTTGTTATCTAGCTTGGGGATCTCATAGAGCCCTTGCTGCAAGAGTATGGAGCCATTTAAAGCATCAAGAACTTTTTGAGTGTTAAAATTTCATTATTTTTTTAGCCGTATCTCGTTGGCGGTCATTTCCGAAAAAAAAAGTGTACTTGGTTAAAACATGGCAAAACATTAAAAAAATTAATTGCCATTTAATACAGAGGAGTTATCAAAAAAACTATATTAAAAAGACGGCAACAATGTTTTTCAAGGTAATCGGCCTAATTAACATTACGGAAATACCTGTTGCTTCGTAATGATTAATAACTTCGGTAACCATGGAATTATCCAGAGTGACACAAGTCAGTGCCGCTGTAATCTCCTTCTTATCCACTGGTATCGAGCAGCTTCTCGTATTTGGATAATTAACTCCTGGTCAATTTGTACCAGTGTTCAGTAATCCAATGGTATAATATGTCCTTGTGCTGTGTGTATCTTACATACGTGGCAGGAATTGTAGCCCTTCCTCGTATTTATTTGGTGCTTGGGAAAGTGTCAGTTATTGTGTTTTGAGTGCCCCTGCAAGGCTCGGCTGCAACTAGGTCCAATACTTGTTCCGCTGCGTCTGGAACCCGAAGATCTATCATCCACTATCTTCCTGAAACCACTCTCCTCGCCCTATGTGGGCGTGAGGTAGAGCTTCTGCCATCATATTGTGGCATTTTCCGAGAACTAAGCGCGTATTGGCAAATTTGTGAAAGGGGCTTCAAAACAAGCCACAGTTTGACAAATGCTTATTATTATTGACAAAGGCTGTCAACCTGTAACTATTTGTTAATGACAAAAAACATCATCGCCGCTTTGACTTTTCATCAAAAAAATGTAGACGGGTACTTTTTTAATATTAAAAATTTTCGTAATTTGACAAAAAGATCGTAATTTTTCTATTCGAATGCTTAAGTATTCCAATAGGCTACCAATCAAACGTAGGATCTTTTAAAATAATGCTTAATAACAAAATTTAAATTCGATCTTCAACTGTTAATATTTTCTTGAAATTTTCGAAAACAAAATTTTCAATATTTTTCTCGTATTCTCTAAGTGGGTCCCTAAATACCCTTAAAAGAAATGACGCAAATTTTGAATCACCGTTTTTCTTTGTTGCCCGAGACCTAATCGCCATCCTCTTCTAACGTCGCAATCTTCTGGTGAGATGTTTCTTCCACTCATGGACTTTTGTATGGTATTCTGATATTCCAGTCTTGGTCTTCCTCGTTTGTTTCTACCTGTTGGTTGCCAATGCAGTATTTTTCTAGGCCACCTGTTATTTGGCATTTGTTCTACGTGGCCGTAACAGGTAAGTTGCCTTTTATCAATGTCCTGAACTATTGTACTTTCCTTTCCCATTTACTGTTTTATATGGTCGTTCCTTATTCTGTCTCTTTATGAGATTTGCATGGATCTTCTAATAGCATCCATTTCAACTACCTCTACTTTCTTCGTTTGTCTGTCTGTAACCCTCCAAGTTTCTGCTCCATACAGATGACTGCTCTTTACTATTGCCTCCTATATATTAAACTTCCTCTTCTTTGTTATTTCCTTGCTCCATAAAATTTCATTTAGGCAACAGATCTGTTTTTTAGCTTGAACTATTTGTTTTTCTATTTCTTTCACATCTGTCTTAGTGTTGTCGAATGTGATACCTAGATGTTCATATTGCTGACATTGCAGAATTTCCTGCCCATTGTCTACTTCCAAATGTCCGTCCTGGGTGCCTATACATAGATCTTTTGTTTTATTTATATTGACTGTCCGGCCCCATTCTCGGTACTCTTCCATCCGTTTTCTAATCATATATTGCACGTTCTCTCCGTCACTGGCCACTATGACCTGATCACCTACAAACTGGTGAGTGAACAAGCAGCTGTCATCTATCTCTACCCCCATACCATTGATCTTCCTCTTCCAATTTCTTAGTACCACCGCTACGTATACTTTAAAGAGTGTAGGCGAGATACAGCATCGTTGACGTAGTCCTTTATTTACTATGAATGGGTCTGTAAGTTCTTTGCCTATATTAATCCTTAATTTTGAGACTTCACGTAATTCTTTAAGAGCCTTGATAAAGTTGTGATTAACATTGGTTTGTTCTAATAGCTTCCAGAGTCTGGATACTGGGACTGTATCACATGCTTTTTGTAGGTCCACAAATGTGAGGTGAGTTTCAAAATGTCTAGCCGATCTCTTTTCTGCGGCTTGCTTTAGACAGAATACGTTGTTCGTTCATGACCTTCCTGCTCTAAAGCCGCACTGATCTTCTTGTTCAGTGATGATGTGGGAACTCAAATTGGATCCCTATAAATTTATTGTCTCGTCTTCTTCTTCTTGCCGTTTAATGTCAAGAACTGGATTTAGGTCTCCCCTTGTTCTTTCCATATTATTATATTCTGGGAAATGCTCATCTATGGAAGTCTCGCCGGCTTTTTCATGTCGTAGTACCTACGTATCATAAGGCTTCCTCTCACAATAGTGAGAGCCATGGACCTGCAGAATATGCAAATATGCAGGTCCATGGTCTCCATCGCAACACTTTACCCTTCGACCTATCACCCGTTATTCGGGCAATATGTTCCGCGTCTCATTTAAGTTGTGCTGCTCGGTCTATTATACCTGCTACTAGAGACTTGCTTCTAATTAACTCGATTGGTTTTTTCTCGAGCAGAGAAACACATAATATTCTTATATCGATATTGTCTGCGTATCAAATGTGTTAATCTCTCGCCATCGATGATGACTCTTCCTTGACCTTCCTTGATGACCTATTCTGACTTCTTGAAAATTTCTGCTAGGGCCAGCGTAAACAGGTTGCGTGAGGTTATGTCGCGCAATTTAATTTCGCCTTGTACGGTAAAGGAGTCTGTTATGTCGTGTAATCTCATTGCCGCTTTGGCGTTTTTGTGAATCTTTTTCAGTATGTTTGTGTATCTATAGTCTGCACGGGCCAGTCCCAGCCCGCTTGGAGTTGCCCAATTTTCGTTCTTCTTAGATCTTCATAGATTACGAGAATCTAAAGCATTTTCGTAATCTATGAAGGCTGTGTATATTGGCATGTTGTACTCATTTCATTTCAAGTAATTTTTCCATTTAGAATTTTGAAGGTCAAAAGATAATCGCATCTGCTAAAGCCCTTTCTAAGCACTGCCTGTTCTGCAGGTTGGTAATCATCAAGTTTAATACTGATTCCGTTAACAATGATTCTGGTGAATAATTTATAGCTGCGTGAAAGCAAAGAAATTGGTCTATAATTCGGAAGAAGTATCGGGTCTCCTAACTTGCCGAGCAGGAATCATCCTGCTCGGCATTATCAATTGGATGCGTTCCCGGTTTCAGATATTTCTTGGGTTTCAAAGCAAGGGTTGAAAAGCTTTAGCTTGTGGATGATTATTTCTTCTGCCTTCTTGATCATTTCTGTTACTATGCCGTCGTCTCCAGGGCTCTGCCATATTTTACTGTTTTAAAAGCATGTCGTATTTTCACCTCTGTTATTTCGGGACATCGACCGACCGTACATTTCTCACTTTCTTTAATTTAATTGTTTTCATTGCATAAAATCGCATAATATATGTCCTCCTGGGTTCCTTTCTCCTAAACCTTAAACCGCCAATAACCAAGTCGTGATCATAAGAGAGAATACATCTGTCTTTGTTCGGTGCTTTCCCGATGTCCTCATATAAAATCTCTACCTCTTCGTCCTTGTGAGTTAATGTTCTCGTTAAGTTCTATTCGGTAGTCCTTTGACAACACCAAGGTTACATATACTATTCTGTCAGAGATTCCGTTAGAACTTTGAATGTATTTGATCATTCTTGCGTGTATTGGGCAACCCAGTCCTCTTTGACTTGCGCTGTAGTGTCCACAGTAATGAAAGATTTTCCTGATTGCAGTGTTAACAGGTTTCCTCCCTGCCGATACTGTCCCAGTTAATTTCGTTTTCTAGATCAAAAAGTTTACTGTCCGACAGCAGTGATCGATAGTTCTATTTTGCTATTGTGAGGCTGTTCTTCTTATAATGCGAATTTTTACCACTCTCAGAATCCATGAGGCTCACCGTCTATTCAAAGATGTGGGACTAGAAGCTATTATTTCTAACCACCTGGGATACCTGTTCGTTCTGTTTCAAATTTCCCGTATCTAAGGGGTTTTAGGATGTACTGTGCCACGCTATTCTGCCGGACAGCCACTTCGAGGATTGTGGGAAGGAAAAAGTTGGGTTTGGATGGACGAACTGGGAGAGGACAATGGTTTCCCCCGTATGGTCCTGGAAGATAAACGAATGGCCGCATGGGCAGGGGCTCGTCCCTGAAGTAGATCTAGATTGGGAATATAGCTGAGGATATACGCACTACCCCTTTCAAATTTTTTTTACTATCAGTTGAATGCTAGAAGATCTATTTGACCTTGGACTGTATCTTTTAATTTATGAAAAATTCCCCGACATTTTTATTCAAATGACGAAATGCGCGATATGGTTTCTGCTCATGTGCAAGATAATTTTAAATGCTGCAGAATAAATTGTAGTATTGGAGTGTGAAGATTTCAGGTTCAAGAATTATTATGAAATTATAATTTTCAAAGTATTTGCTGAGTTACAAAAGTAGCTTAAAACAGTTTTAAACGGACTTGAAAACATACAGTTTAATCAAAAGAGATAGACTTTCGAGGCCATTCCTTGAAACAAGTGGGTTTTTCGGGTTTTTACCGAACGACGGCCTAAAAACCCGAAAAACCCACTTGATACAGTTTAATGTTTGTAAAGTTTTGCGTTATTGAAAATTCGAGCGGAATATTTCTTTTATTTAGATATCCAATTTGAGTTACCCAGCTCACAAACCACTAGAGGTTTCAATGTGACATATCTCGAACACGGTGAGAGATATCGACCTGTACCCAGTATTCATTTTTTGCTTAGAAAGTACCGTACAACGCAAAATGACCAAAAATAAGTAATATCTTGAAAGCTAGAAAACGTCTGATGTTTTAAATGTCTTCAGACTATTGCAGCTAGCCCCCGCTATAATTTACAAGCTAGCTGACAAAAATGTTTACTGTGATAGTAAAACTGGTTAGGAGTCTATTAAAAATGAGCGAATATCTTTATTTACACATTAACTCCCTGTATCTCGGAAACCATCAACTTTGACATAAGACATAGTTGTATATAAAATATACTAATAGAACAAGCAACATAAATGGTCTGAGGGATATTATCTGAATTTTTTTTGTTTGTATGTTTTTAAGTATCTGGGATAGTAACTTGGCTTGTGCACGTTTCGTTTGCATACACAGGCTGCGTTTTGTTATTGAGTTAAATGTCCGATAATTCTTGCAATTCGTAATCGCCTACCAATAATCGATCTTTCGACCAAAATGCAATCAGATTTTAAACTTCTATTACACAGGTCACCAAGACGCCTGTTGAACCCGTCAAACCTTAATTACATCGCAAGACGTGTAGGTCACTTTGCAACTAAGTATGCATTGGAGGTATGTATGACCTTGACAATAGAGGAATAAATATACAACCTGGCTCAGAATGGCTTGACGAAATGTCTAGGATTGCCAAAATAGCTGCGACATGTTTATTTGGAATTATGATTAACGGAGTTGTTGACAATGAATAAAAATTGCTTCAAAAATAATTGGTAAAAATTTAATGAATATTTATGTCAGCTACCACTTAGTGTACGCTAATCGTCTTCGCTTTTAACTCAACTGCGTTATTTCTTTATATACTTTTTACTTACCCACATGCTTAACGTAATTAAAAAACTGTCGTTAACTGTAATCTTTTTCTAATAGAAACTTTTTACAATTCCTATTCAAATAACCACTGTGAACCAATTTACCCTATCGAAATGTCTTTTATGTGCAGAATTTAGAATATTAAACTTTTATATTGTTTACTCGCACATTTCCTAGCTACTGTTTCATAATGCATTTCTTAATGCAATTTGTATTAGGAGTTTAATATTGCAATTCTTTACGCGCTTAGATTCGAAGCGTAGCGTTTAATGTCCGACCTACTGTAAAAGTCAATATTTCCGAATAGCCTGGTTCAAAGGAAAGTAAAAATTATTATTTCTACAAAGCAATTAGCCATTGCAACATGATTTGCTTTACAGGCACTTAGTAAAGCAATTTACCTATAACGCCGAATAAGTTCAATATCTAACAATCAGTTCAGCTTACATTTTCCTTTTTTCTTCACCCAGCATAAAAGTAATGAAAAAGCTGTACTAATAATAAACATACCTTTCTTTTAGACCGTATTGAGTCGAGTTGTCTCTGAGTCAATTCCCCGATCGACTTAGAGCCCCAGAGCACTTTCCCCATGATTGTGTAGCACATTGACATTAGTAACATTGGAACAAAATAAGCTATCACTAGAAACAGCATCTGGTACCTGCAAATAAAGGAAACAATATTTTACATTTTATCTTACAATTAAGAAACCGATATACAACTTGACTTATTGCAACTGCTGCTCTGAAATGGGTTCTTTGTATAGATATGTAAGAGGTAGTTAAAAGTCTCCTAATCAGCTTAGACCAATAGAAGCAGTAATAAAGCAGCAAAATGTTGTAAAATTGTTGTTGAGAATTTAATATTTTGCCAGCACATTCGCATAATTGAAGAGTAGACTTGAGTAAGGCGCCAAGTGCCCAAAAATCAAAATGTTCAGGAGAATCAACAAACCAATTAATTTAGCCATTTTATAAATAAAACCATTTTAGTTTGACAAATATTTTTATTTGCGAGCTTACATTGTATACATAGTAAGAAAAACCAGATACAATAATTATTATTTTAATATAAACAAACAAAAATGAAAAAACATAGAAAAGGGCCAAGTACCAATAACTTTTTATTCAAGGTAAGCGCTAAAAACTTAGCAGTATTTTTTTTGTAGAACTCTAGTGCTGTGGTAAATGAAGATATGGAATCATAGCGCGTAAATTTCGCTTTTTGCTTTATTAAGCTGTGGTGTCAATTTCTGTCCAACCATCCGGATTTTTCTTATTTCGTCTGAAGAAACATTTTTCTTCAGAACCTTTATCTGCTTCCATTCCTCTATATCACTGTGCGATTTCTTAGTAAACACGTATCCTGGGTCATCTTTAGTAACTCGTATTTGTGACGTTGATATGGCTAGCTTTGCAGTGGGTATTAAGGAATCGGCGGCTTGTTGTAAGTTTTAAAAGTGCCTCGGTTCCATTTTGACAACTTTATATGGCCGTATTGATCTGGTTTCTCCTATGATGTCTTTAGGCACTAAGCATTTTTTGAGTCTTCATCTCCTTGAAATCTATGCGAAATGACGATCATTTGGTAAGTAACTGTGACCGCTCAAGAGAAACTTTAGAGTAATATCGGTGTAATAAACCAATAGATGTTGAAAACATCATTAAACATTAATATTAAAAAGATGTTAATTTATTATTAAGACAAAAGTTATTCAAAATTAAACAAAAATCCAACAGAAGGTTTGGAAAGACAAATTTATAACAATTTAAAAAAATTTAAACATGAATTACAGATTACGTTAGATCAAAATTAACACCACACAATAGTAAAACACCACATTTTTACGGAGTTCCAAAAATTCATGAAGTTAATATTCCTTTACGACCATTGGTTAGTAGTATAAAATCACCTACACATCCCTTAGCCAAATATATTTTAAACATTTCAAATTCCCTCACAAATAACACAACTTCCTATATTAACAATTCTGAACATTTTTTACAAAACATATCAGACATAGACATAAATCCAAACTATATTCTAGTTAGTTTTGATGTTGTTAGTCTATTCACTAACATTCCTGTTGACAAAACTTTAAATATCATCAAACAAAAATTACAAAATTACATCAATCTTAAAGAACGCACACAACTAAACATTAACACCATTATTGAACTTTTAACAATATGTGTAAAGTCAACTTATTTTCAATACAATGACAATTTATGTAAACAACATTTTGGAATGGCTATGGGGTCACCACTATCCTTATCTTTCACTAATTTATTTATGGAAAGTTTTGAATCAACTTTCAACAGAAAATAAATAGAAATGAATTGCTATAGGTTTTATATATCAGTGTGATTTTTACATATATAGAAATAATCTTTATTTCCTATAGAAAAAAGCTATCGACCCAATCGGTGATTTTTTACATTTTCGGTATAATAAATGATAATTTATTTATTTCATTTTAGATCTGAGAGAGAAAGCTTATGGAGATGCTTCAGTTGGATATGTCCAACTGAAAAGAAAAAATAACGTTTGCGTTGTGAAATGCCAAATTTGCCCTGAACATGGAGTACGTTCTCAAAATTACTCTATAATTTTGGAAGTGGATAAATCCGAGGAAAATAAAGTCAAAGCTGAGTGTCAAGACTGTGCGGCGCCAACAGGTAATCCATTAATATTTAAAGATGCAATCAAATATAACGTCTGATTTTTCTGATTTCTAGGAGGATGCAAACATGCTATTGCTTTTGTCATGTGGGTTCATCGACGTAGTGAAGAGCCAAGTCCTACAGAAGTAGAATCATATTGGAAACGTCCTAAACTTTTAACTGTGGCTACATCACGATTTATTACCCTGAATGATTTTTGTAGCGAAACAAATTTGTCAGCAGCCAAGAACTATGATTTATTAAATAAATTTGTGCAAAGAGGGCTAGAAATAGAGGCTTCTAGTCAAATTTTAAAATATTTAATTGTAATTAAATGGAAATTCATCAGTTCTTGTGTTCATTTACGGAGTTAACGCGTAGAAATGTAACGGCTGATGAATTTGTGTTGTATGCATCATCGAAAATACAGTTGTCCGACTGTGAAAAAGCATTTCAAAGCACAATTGCCCAAACTGGATGTAGTATGGGGCATGATCTACGACATAGGTTGCCAAAGAGGTCCAAGTGGACCCCCAGGGATTCATAGGAGACCACACGGAGGTCCACGTAGACGTGAAAACAAAACAGAGGTTCACAAGTAATAAGGGGGGGTGGACAAAAAATTTGCTGGTTTTCATAATGAACAAGAATTTTTGCTTTGATCTAGCTATCAACCTACGTTGATATTGCAGGTAGCATCATTCACTAGGTAGGTACTCAAAAATATATGAGACGCTGTTCAAACCTCAGATTAAACAGATGCATTTGTTTACGTTTTTCTATGGGAGCAACATTAGTTCACAGTCTATACAAAAGTAGGTACTTACGAGGCTGCTTTGCCGGCTCGGTAT